GAGATTTAAGAAAACCTTGGGGACTCTTTCTGCGGTTTAATGAGAAATACACAGCTAGTCTTTGAGTTACGACGAGTGGCACATCGTGGCTGGTTGTTAAGCAGCTGGAAACGTCATAAATTGAGGACTGCCTCTATATTCTGTTCTCTCTGCTTTCCGGATGAGTAATAATGCTTCTTGTGTAAAGTACTTGGTTTCACACGTAGTGATCTTGAGAATGTATACATACTAGGAAACCAACTTATTTGCAATTTACTGATTGAATAAATTGCTGCCTAATAACCAAAGGAAAGAGATAGTCATTAATCCTATCAATAGGATTAGCAATTTTTCGCCCCAGTCTTTTATCCCCTGTACATTTTAGCATGTTAACTTTCATCTCCCCAAATGGCTACCCGGCGTGGCTTATGGGCTTTGGGGAACTGAAACCTACCTGCCCAGGGCCAGGGATAGATTAAAGGGCAGCAAAGCAGAGGTTTAAAGGTGTGAAGCTTTTTAGATATATTAAAATCTCAATATGATATAGGAATGTCACAACACTGGTTGCGGTTTCCTCTTTTAGACATGACAAGTACCTGTCTGGCCTCAGTTTTTCGTAACGCTGGTAGCCCTGTCCAGTCTTTGCAGAAGTCTCAAAAGGAAGAAAGAAATGTACAGTATGGTAAGAATCCAGGTCACAAAGATGGGAGACATTTTATAAATGTTCTCCTGCTTAGAAATGCCCAGCATGCCTTGTAATGTGACAAGAAAACAAGCGCCTTCTAAATGCTCAAGTCCTGCTCAGATCTTAAAAGAAAATTACAATGTATGTGAAGATCTGTTTCCAGAATTTATACTGTTGGCCAGGGGTCTTCAAACTTGGCCCTTTTATGACTTGTGGACTTCAACTCCCAGAATTCCTCAGCCAGGAGTTGAAGTCCACAAGTCATAAAAGGGCCAAGTTTGGAAGATCCCTGCTGTTGGTTGGTGTTAGACAAAATTGTATTTTTCTTTGTGTTTTATAAGCCTCCCCTAAGGTTCTCTGTTCTGTAGTAGTATTGTTTTCAAGCTGAATGTAATTAGCCTCTTGGTATTAATTGTTTCTGGTTTCCACTCAGTCAACTGCATTAAATTGCTATATAGGCAGGCTCTTCTCTAAGACAATAGTGCATTTTGAGTTTGTTGATTAACCGTTTTTTTTAGCTTTCATGCTATTTTACAAGGTTTTTTTTTTCAACAGCTAAAGTTTTAGAGTATCGGCTGATAATGTCACCATGTTGTAGATAAATGGAGGTGATTTGTTATCCTAAAAGTTAAAATAAATTTTTAAAAATATCTTCCAGGAGACTTGTGGACCAATTATTTTAGTTTACTAAGATTTTGTTTGCTCAGTGAGATAACAACATTGAAAAGTTTTTTTTCCCTTTTGTCTTGATTGCTAGGTCCAACTTTGGTTGGGGTTTGTACTATGGAACAGAGAAGAATATTTTTTTTAAAATTACAGAATAATAACAGTTGGAAGGAACCTTGGAGGTCAATCAATCAATCAGAATACAGCTGAAAGGAACCTTGGGGGTCTTCTAGTCCAACCCCCTGCTCAGGCATACCATTTCAGACAAGTGACTGTCCATTCCCTTCTTAAAATCCTCCAGTGATGAAGCACCCAAATGCCTGAAGGCAGAGCTGTTCCACAGCTTAATTGTCATCACTATTAGGAAGTTTCTCTTTAGTTCCAGGTTGCTTCTCTCCTTGATTAGTTTCCATCCGTTGCTTCTTGTCCTGCGTACAGGTTCTTTGGTAAATAAGTTGATCCCCTCCTCTTCGTGGCAGCCCCTTAAATATTGGAATACTGCTATCATGTCACCCCTAGTCCTTTTCTCTAGAAGTCAAACCCAAATCCTGCAACCGTTCTTCATATGTTTTAGTCTCCAGGCCTTTAATCATCTTAGTTGCTCTTTTTTGCACTTTTTCCAAAGTCTCAACATTTTTGTAATGTGGTGACCAAAACTGGATGCAGTATTCCAGGTGTGGCCTTACTAAGGCTTTATAAAGCGGTACTAATACTTCATGTGATTTTGATTCTATGCCTCTCTTTATACAACCGAGGATTATATTCACTTTTTGGCTGCTGCCGCACACTGCTGGCTCATGTTTAACTGATCGTACACTAGAGCTCCACAGTCCATCTCACAGTTACTGTTTTTCAGCCCCGTTTCGCCTAGTCTGTACTTGTACCTTTGGTTTTTTTCTGCCTAGGTGTAAAACCTTGCTTTTCTCACATTAAATTTCAAGTTGGGAGATCTTTTTGGATCCCGAACTTGCCTTCTGGGATGTTGGCTATTCCTGCCATCTTAGTGTCATCTGCCAATTTGATGAGTTCCCCTTCTATTCCCTCATCTAAGTCATTTATGAAAATGTTGAAGAGTACTGGGCCTAAGACGGAACCTAGTAGTACCCCACTGCTTACTTCCCTCCATGTGGATGTAGTACTTTGGAGGACTACTCGTTGAGTACGGTTTGTCAGCCAGCTATAAATCCATCTGGTGGTGATGTTGTCTATCCCACATTTTTCTAGTTTACCAAGAAGTAGGTTGTGATCTACTTTGTTGAAGGCGTGGTCTATTAATTTAGTCACTTTGTCAAAGAATAAAATAAGATTGGTTTGCCATGATCTGTTTTTAACCAATCCATGCTGGCTTTTAGTTATAACTTTATTTGTTTCTAGATGTTCGCAGATCTGTTTTTTGATTATCTTCTCCAGTATTTTCCCAGGTATTGATTGTTAGGCTGATTGGTCTACAGCAGTGTTTCTCAACCTTGACAATTTTAAGGCATGTGGACTTCAACTCCCAGAATTCCACAGCCAGCAATGCTGGCTGTGGAATTCTGGGAGTTGAAGTCCACATGCCTTAAAATTGTCAAGGTTGAGAAACACTGGTCTACAGTTTCCTGCATCTGGTTTCCCCCCC